TTTATTGTTCACAAAAAAATTCAAGAATTTTGCCATTTTTTCTGAATTTTGTTACACTTTTCCTCCCTTTCTTCTTTCTATTCTCTTTTACTTTTTTGTCATTCGATTTCAGGATGACGTATTGTATTTTACCATCTACGCTTCCGTTTTTCATGAAGTATCGTTAAGAAGTAAATAAAGGGCGGAAGTGGTGTAGTGGCAAGTGGCACGCTTACCACGCGAGCGGTCCGGGGATCAAATCCTGGGTCGTGAGTCGCCCGGGCCAACCAAGCCTTCCATCCCTCCGGGGTCGGTTAATTGGTACCAGACTTGTCTGGGAGGATAAAAACACTGACTTGTACATCGGCTGGCCCCCGCAAGTCATTGTATAGGCCACATCGCATTCAAACGCCACTACGAATGTACAAATGGAAGTAGAATGCGTGCCGCATCCCAAAAAGGGATTGATCAACGGCAAATGCTTTATCCTTTATCTTTTATTATCGTTAAAAGAGAGGGAATCCTGAGGCGTTCCATTGGGATTTTCGAATTCCTGATATCAGTTTACAGACCCAAGCTATTTTGCCTACTACCCCACCGGTAACCTTAAGGCACTGACCACCGAGCAATTTTTGCTGTCTTTCCCATGAAACCGAGAGTTATCACGAATTTTTCGGGAAAGTTTATCTGAAGCTTCGGATAGGATTCATCTAGTTTCCTCCCCAATCACGATGGTTGCAAGGATTTGTGTCGCTGGCGCTATTTGGCACCAAGTGTTTACCCCAGTAGATTGAGTACGAACCCAACTGCCAGCTTGCCTTCCAGGGTAGAAACAGCAATTTCGAAGTCCCTCGACATTCGTAACTTCCTCGTCATTGTGAAGTCTTAGAAGTTCGTGAATAGCAGAGAATATTGTGAAGTTTTTAGTGACTCCATCATGTCGGACTCACAACAATATGGTATTGAAACGGATTCCATGACATTGCAAAGATTCGTGCTTGCTGAGCAGAAGAATCATCCCGAGGCTAGTGGAGATTTTACAAATTTGCTGACATCTCTTCTAACAGCAGTGAAAGCCATCTCAAGCGCAACCCAAAAGGCAGGATTGGCTCAATTGTGAGTTTACTTGTATGTATTGAGTACTTTATAACAATATCTGCAACAGTGAAAGCTAACATGAAAGTGTGATGAGAAGAAGTCGATTTCCCTGATCACCCAACTTTGCATAGGGGACACAAAAAGTGGTCTATAGTACTTTGTCTGCTATTGGAAATGAAAGCAAAAAAATTGGGAGCGAGGTGGGAGATCTAGGACGGATAGCCAGGTGCAACGATTTGGGTAGGATGAGGGTAGGGTGCGTATAATGTTGGCCACTCACCGATCCCTAGCAGAAATACACTTCAAATGAGCTATATACGCATTAGCTTATCCCTGTGTTAGAAAGGCAGGAGAAGTTTTCTTTAGTACCAAGGATAAAACAACAAGGAGTGACCCACCGAGCTCCATTTTCACTAGACGTCCCCAACATAACACCACTCCGACTCTCGATGGTGCTCGTAGTCGTTGAACCTGGCTCACCTCGATACAATTCGAACCCCTCCCCCTCCCCCGAAAAACCAGAAATGTGTAGATTCGGGCTGGTGGAACGAGGGAATGTGTCACTTCTAGAAGAAGAAATTTTAAGAAATTTCAAAGAATCGGCTACAACCCTTCCTTACAACCAATCTGCAAGTGCGCCCCACCCCATAGAAAGAAAATTTCCAACAAAAGGTTGGCCCCACCCCAGCCTCGACAATGGCCCTAATACCAGTTCGTCAAGCTTTGCATGTTCGTCAAGCTCAGAAGTATATCTCGCGAAGCAGCAGTGAACAGTCTTGAAAATTTTCTTTTTTTAACTCTAAATTCAAACAAAGGCTTGCCACAAATCGGATCGAGTCTTTTGTAAAAAAAAAATTGGTGCGGAATATACTGTGTATAACTGAGGTTTAAGGTACGGAATTGCCGGTGTCACCAATATACAAGGAGAGGAAGTAAAGAAGTTGGATGTGCTATCAAATGAGCTCATGATTAATATGCTTAAATCCAGCTATACTACCTGCATGCTCGTTTCTGAAGAGAATGATGAAATTATTGAGGTGTGTTTTACTTGACTATTCTTTAATTTTACTACTTGTTATTTATTTATTTATCTATTTCTCTATTTATTTGTTTATTCCTTACGCTCAAAGGCGTGTCACAACCGGTAAGAAAAGTCAAGAACCTCTGCTGATAGTGTAGGCAAGTTCAAGGAAAAATAAATAAATAAGAAAGCAGAGACAAGTAGGAAAGAGGTGTCTAGCGAAGCAAGAATTTTATTCAAAACCTGCTTGTACCATTGGACGAAACGGCTTAGCTCGTTTGTGTTAGGTTGATTCATAAGCCCTCAGAGGTATGTGACCGTTTTATTCAGAAAGGTTTTTCAGTAATCTCAAGGTTATTCAGTGGAGTAAGGAAGGAACTCCGAATAAAACCATCCTGAACTTTTGCTTGAACGTAACGAATGCTTGCTAACAGGGTGAATAACGGTCGAGGAATTCCTCGACCATCGCTCTCTGCTGTGCGAGAGTAGAGCCGATAGTGAATGTACGCGCGGAGAGCACAGACGGCTCGCGGGTGGCGAGAGTGAATATCCGCGCGCGAGAACGTAAAGGATCAGGCGAAAATCCTCGACGTGCCGTTGAGGAATCCTCAAGCAATATTCACCCTACTTGCTAATATGCTTTCGGCTTTTACGTCCTATGAGCGCTATGTCCGCGACGTCGCCCTAATCCTTTTCTTTTTTGGTCTCAAACCTCAAGAGTCCTGCCTCTGACTGCGAGAAATTTGTAGTGAAAATGCTTTCGCTCGCTATTTTACAATATTGCATAAAAGTAATAAAGGATAAGACATTAGAAAAGAATCATCCCACTTCGGTGATACGCCAGCTACTCTACTTCCATTGAGGGTGAGGTGGCGCCCGAATATGATTCGGGTTTCCAATGACTTTTGGGGGCCAGCCGATCTGCTAGTTGGTGAGTTCTCCTTTTCAGAGAAGCCTGCTAATAATTGAAGTGGTCCCGGATGTGTTACCAACTTTAATTTGTTCTTACTAGATTACTGCTGTTTTTTACGCCGCAGTTCGCGTTGCGAAGTTATCACAAGAATGCTGAGTTGTGAACAAAACTTTCGCCCCAGCCGGGATTCGTACCCGGATCTCTTGCTTTCCGGCGCAATTGTGCTACCAGTTACAATTAGCCTGCTTAGTTAATAGTTAGTCTGCTACCAATTGAACCGGCCTAGAGATAGAAGCCTTCGTTGATCTGAGTGGGATTCGGTCAGGGATGTGATCCCCGGATCGTGCAAGTCATGAGCGGCGGCACTTGCCACCATGCCATTTTATAGGGTTTGTATGAATATTCATATTTATTTGTATGAGTGAATTTATTTTTAATTTCTAAGCTTATATAAGTTGGTGGAATAATTTAGGTGGAGGAAAGCAGGCAAGGACACTACATTGTAACATTCGATCCCTTAGATGGATCTTCAAATATCGATTGCCTCGTTTCTATTGGGACAATTTTTGGTATATACAGGAAGGTGAGAATTGCTTTGTATATTTTGTTACCGAACGATAGATCTATATCATATTAGCTCCCATCAGCGCAGGAGAACAGCAATGCCCCAGCAGGAGAACAGCAATGCCCCACAAAGTGAATAGTAAATCTGGTAAGCCACTAAATAAATATGGTAAAGGACAACAGAAACATCGACTGGTCAAGGATAGGTTTCGTACTTCGCACTGCGTCCTAGAAGCTGTATTGAGATCTTGGAGTTAGTATCCACAAGGCCTTAAAGGCAGCGAACGCGATGGTTGGAGGGCGGAGCAGTATTGATGACGCCATTGGTGGACCGTAAACCTCAACGCACGCGAGTAGTGCTTGGCACTCTCACTCAGTCCCTTCCACTGTGACGTCGTCAAAACCGATCTACCTTCAGTCATTTGATCACTGCTTTTGAGTCCGCTTTTCAGAGTTTTGTAAGAGCAACCAAGGAGGTGGGAGAGTGCGGAGTGCCAACGGGTTGAAGATCGTCTGATCTGTGAACGACAGTTAATCTAAATTATCTTGCTTGGTGAACATAAAGAAGGAAAGTGACAGCTGTGATTTTGATGTTAAACACATGGTTTACAAGAATGTCATCAGCGAAAGAATGAGTTGGAGCCTTCCCGGATGAAACCACATGAAAAAAAGGAAAGAGTGTATGTCAACAAGTAGCGAATTTCTGCCACACATCCCACCAATGTCAGCTCTGAGACTATGCAGCACTGCACGTAGGCGCCTCATTGCAAACAGATTGGCGGTACGTAGCTGTGAACTCCTACTGCTCCGTTCTACTGTGTTCTGGTAGATGAACACACCTTCAATTCTTGATCCACCCCGAAAAGAGTGCTATGTATTTATGTTGGTTTCAGCATTTCTTTCCTTTCTTTACTTTCTGGCCTCTTCAACGCAACGAACCTTCTCGTAAAAACCCCTCAACGAGCTGGGGCTGGTTGTTAAAACACATCCTAGTCTCCTGGAACTTTTGCCATAAGGTGCAACCTCTCGGCTGTCGTTGTGTATACCTGCCTGATCGTTGAACTCGAAAATAAAACTTAAGGCGCCTAGTAGACCGCCAGTAAAGAAGAAAAGGAAGTAGTCCGTGGGAAGCAGTAAACAAATAAAACACTCCGTAGGGCGTTGCCCGAGTCATGAGAAGAGAAACGGGGTGCTTAGACGAGATATAATGGGGATAAGGGAGACACAGACACATGTGCCTTCGTGACGGTAGCGGGTCCAAGCCTCAGGCCATGATCCCTATCCGGTCCTGCCACGTGCTTCCTAGTCGCGAAAGTAGAACCACATCTGCGTTTGCGTACCTAGCTAAATTATTCATGCAAGGTAATTCAGAGAATTTATCATTGACCGTGGTGGTTTTCTGCTTCTGTCAATCATATGTCGTATACTTTGGGTTAGGCATTGGTCTTACGCTCGCTAATCGATACCGATTTTTTACTCACATGCGCTGGCTGAAGCTGTACGGCCATACTCTGGGTTTAAACAAGGATAAAAATGTCATTGTGTTAGATTTGAAATGGTGTTTTTTCCACGCTCTAGTTTCTTACCATGAGTGATTGCTCATGATGTTGCGCAGTTGATTAACGGTGAAGGCGAGTGGAGGGGTGAGGGTATGGATGAGTGGAAGAGATCCAGTCAGCTGTCACTTACGCGGCGCGCCACTAAACAGAGCAGCGCGGTGATGATAACCGGCGGTTGATATACATCAGGTTAGGTGCAGATATATTTATTCAGTCTAACTGAGTGAATATATGCTATCCACAAATCAGTCTGTTGCAGATAAGTGAAAACGGTCCATCGCTGGCCGATGTTTTGCGACCTGGAAATGAAATGGTGGCCGCTGGTTATGCGCTCTACGGTTCGGCAACTATCGTGGTATTAACCACCGGCAACGGTGTCAATGGCTTCACACTTGATCCGGTACGTTCTCATGTCTGCAAATAATTGTTACGCTTCCTTTCTGACAACCTTGGAGAAATGAGAATCTAAAACTAAAAAAATCTGACTGAAAAAATAAATCTTGTGAACATCTCCTAGAAGGAGCTCATGGAGGACTTTTCTCAGTTGTTTTGTGCAGAGATGCGCCTTGAAGGGTTAATCGCACTGGGCATGTACAGTTTGATGGGTGAGCTCATGCAGCCACCAGCCAATCGTGTGCCTAGTCGCATTCTCATTGGTGGGTTGCCGGCCTACCAATGGGAGTGCGAGTAAGCACTCCACCTGCCTCACTCCAATGCAGCTGCGTGATCACTGTCTACCACACCGTTTTTTAGCTGTTATCTGATAGCGGATGGAGTTGTAGATTGGGTCAGTAGAAGGCCTAGAATGACTGTTTTCAAATTTTATTGCCATTTCAGTCGATAGGAGAGTTCATACTGACTCATCCAAATATGAAATGCAAGTCGAAAGGAAGCATATATTCGTTGAATGAAGGATATGCAAAAACGTGGAGCAAAGGTATTGCAGAATACATCCGTACTCGAAAAGATCCAGCGCCGGGCAAGAAGGTGATTTTGAAGTTTTTTTTTCGTAGAGTAATGATCAGTGAAGGAGTTTCGCTGAAATATTTTACCTTTTCCACAACGTTTTCCGTCCATTTGCTGGAAGGTTTCAAATTTAGGAAAGTAAATTATCATAAACAGTAGCGGTAGATTTGATTTTTTTCAAACAAAAACAAGTAGCGGTAGAGTTAGCCGTGCTTCCAGTTTTAACTCGACCACTAGTTTTAGGCTATGGGACAGCGCTATGTGGGCTCAATGGTTGCTGATGTACACCGGACGCTTTTAAACGGCGGTATTTTCTTGTATCCAGCAACGGCAAGTTCACCAAATGGAAAGGTGCTTATACAAGAGCGTTTTTCGCTTGAATCATTTCGATGGATAATAATAGTTGATTATAATAGCTTCGTCTTCTCTATGAATGTAATCCAATGGCGATGATACTCGAACAGGCTGGAGGCTTAGCCACCACGGGGAAGATGCGCATTTTGGACGTTGTTCCCAAAACGGTTCGTGGGACTATAATTTATCTCAGAAGCAGTTAGAGTGTCATGGCTAGAAGGAAGAGCTCATTTGGAAACGCCACTGACAGAAGGGTAATGGGAAGCTGATTGACTACACCGGGTTCCCCGACAGGAGGCCCGTCGCGCAAGAAAGAGGCACAACAGCAGACGAGTAGCAGCGTGTGCTTTGCGATGTAGAACGCACAGTGATACATTCTGTTTAAAGGCACGCTCCGGGATTAGGCGCTCGCCTGTTCCATCCCGGGGGTAGTAGACAGGCGGACAAGTGTTGATGTCGCGCCCCTTTTGCCGCTTGAAAGTGCGCGACAAAGGCGCAAGGAGCTCGTCCGACCCGCAACTCACACCTTCGTCCGCAAGCCCCACCCTCCGCTGTCGGTTGCCACGTGGCGCTGCTTGAAAAGCGCGGGCGCATTTGAGGCAGCGGTCCCATTGCGACCCAATGTCATTGGCACTGGAGCAACTAGAGTTAGGTTCGTGAAACTCGTCCAACGCGCCTCTTCTCTATCCCAAGGTGGAATGTGGCTGAAATAGGGGAGGTCTCTGTACGGGGCGTAATCGGTGGTTTCGTTTGCTTTCCTTCTCTTTTACAGACCACCTCCCACCTATAGCTTCATAACTGAACGCTTTTCCACACCTATTTTATCCCGAATCTTGCCTTTAAGTGGACGCGAAATCGCTACAGTATGCAATGCGACTCGTCAGCCAGCTCCACTTTCTTGCCACACGACGGGCCTCCTGTAATGTACTCGAACACTCCGTGAACGCGCTGAAGGAAAGGGGTGTAGTTGCGCCGCCTCCTACGCCTTCTCATCATTGGCGTCTCCAAATAAGCTCCGCCTTCCAGTCATGACAATCACTGCCTTTAAGCCATGTTATTTTTTCAAAATCATATGAATAGCTCTGTAGTAAAAGATAAATTTTTGCAGATTCACGACCGCTCGCCTATCATTCTTGGCTCCAAGGAAGACGTTGAAGAAGCAATGGAGTACATTCGGAAATTTGACAGTTAGGCATCTGCTGTTGACTAAAAGGTTGTTATAAATGCTCATTTGTTTTCTCTTGTGTTCAATCAAAATCACATTGATGTGTTAATGTTCTACCTCAGAATTTTGTTACATTTTGTTAGTAGGTAATTGTCACCGAATTATTTATTGAAGCAGGATCAAAACTTGATAAAGATATGTATAATTTGAACTTCGATCTATCAGAAGGAATTGTGAGCACAATATGGTATCTTAGAAAAGAGTCGAGCGCGGGCTAACTGAGGAACAAAAACTGTGTTTTAACAAATTGAGCCAACCCAAAAAAGCATCGCCCGTTCCGCCCCCTTCTCATTGTCAGTCGAACCTTTGGTATCAGTTTATCGCTAACATCATTGCGATAATGTGTGTATCTGCGATTTTAACTATAAAAAGCAAGAAGGCTGGAAATATTGCTTGTTTTTCTTCTTTCATACAGGTTGTTACGATGGAACTGTTTATTCGGTCTACGTTTCGAACAACTCGTCATCATGGAAGGAAAAGAAGCAAGAAGCAAGAAAGCTGGAAAAAAGTATGCCTAAACGCACCGATATTTTTCTACTTTCTGGAGCACGTCGCTCATAGTTATATTGAGGTATGATATTTGAATAAATATAAACAATCTGGAAGGTAGTCCCTCGTGCGAGAAAAAGCGAGCCGCGGAGGTGTGGTACCACACGGTGCCGCGATGTCCCACACCGCGTGCAAGTTGTGGTACTCGGTGGTACCACGCTGTAGTTATGGTGTTCAAGCTAATTCACGCGCCACCATTCCACAGCCCTTGTCCCTTTGATAAGTTTAGTTCCTATTTGTACAGCAGTAATGAACTGCATTTAAGGGACTTTTCAATAGAAGGTAGGAAAATTTTTTCTAAACTTCCTCTCTTGGAATATTTTCAATTTTTAGCTAATTTTCTATGAAAAAAAAGAAAATCGAGGGGATGTTTAAAGAGAATATTCATATTAAACACATGTTTTATGCGTGTATGATGTCCGACACATTTATATGGTACATTTCATCAAAATAATTGTTTTAGATTCGGGCTCGATCCATTCGAAGATACCAGTACTTGAAGTATACCATGAATTCTCCTCCAATAATGAGCACTGAAAAAGTGATTTTGATAATCGATAAAAGTATAAAGTATAAATCAATGGACGATGATCAGCTTCTCACTGAGAGATGCCAGGCATTCTACTTCCCTTCAGAATTATAAGAACATTTTAATGCGATTTGGACTCAATGACGAACATGACACTGTTCTCATCGTGTACCACCAGGTATAGATCTCCCAGGGATGATAGCATCTCTTTTCCTGAGCAGGAGTTTACCGGCTCCATCGAATAACTCATCGGCGGCGCGGACGCGAGTGCGTTTGAGTCACTTTGACGTCACGGCGCGGCAAGGGAAAGAGCAAAGAGCAAGGTTTTGCGGAGTACTCAACACAATTCGCTTGTCGCACTCTATCATGCTCTATTTGCGTAGTGAGTAGTAACGAAGAATGGACCTAATGTAATCAACTCCGACTTCATTGCGCGCTCCTAAGGGTTTACACACCAAGGCGTTGACTTCCACCATATCCACAATTTCCTATTTCGAGCGTCACTTCGCTTCTGGACAGGTTGGACTGGTTGATTAGATATCAGCAATCCTGTTACTATTCAAGCGAAGTTGCTGCGACGCTCTCTGTCAAGTCTTCTCGTCGCGTTGCCGCAGCTGTGAACTCACCGGCACGCGCTGGCGTCCGCGCCGCCGGTGAGCTATTCCCTCCCACCGTCGGCAGTGTGTGACGGGCGAAGTGAGAAGGCTTTTCCAAGGAACTAAGATCTTTGTAAAGATCAGTCGAAACATTTCAGAAATATTTACGGAATTTGTACAAATTTCTGAATGTTTTGATTCGTCACTGTTTCACGCACAGCAGGTACTCGTTCGATGGATTTTTTGCAACTGAAAGATAGCTGAAGGTGAAGCAACTCTGAAACTGGGGGCAAGTCAAGGTAGAGCCTGCTTGTGAACCCTGGTACGGTAGGGGTAGAAAGGAAGGATAAGTTTGCGTCAAGTGGAATTTTTAGTCGTGGCATATCCTGATGCCGCAAGAGAAGCTATTGGTGAACAGGACCTCATTCTGAACGACTAGGCAGTATAGGAATTCCGACGTTCATAATGAAGGAAACCCCCAGTCTTGACCAAATTTCAAACAAGATTAATGAATTCGAAACAGCGAAAACCTACTGTTGAAGAGAACCACGAACGTGATAAGTACGTCTAAATCAGCAAATACTTTCGCCCAATTCGTGAATTCAACGCCAGCAGGAATAGGCTCGGGAGTGCCGCTGGACTGCGCATACCATCTGTGAACGAATCAGAATCAACTGCAAACTTCAGTTTCACTTCATTTCAACGTTTGTAAATTCAATATTTAGGAAAACCTCCGATAAGAAGTTGAAATTATGTTTCTTTCACTTCATCGAAAACAGAAAAAAAAGTAAACAGGACAACAAGATTACATGTCCATGTGAACTTGGGCATGCAGTTCTAACGTCAATGATAGCTTCATTTTCAGTTTGAATTTCGTTTTCGAAGACTGCATGATATTAAGCTCACTAGAAAGAAGACATCGTACCCTAACGCATTATGCACAGAAACAATGATGAAAATGGAAAGACTTAGAAAAAATTGGCATGACCCCAAGCTCATGAGATCAACAGAATTTGGCCAACCATGTATACAAATTCGTTTCCTTATGAGCTCTAATCGCTTTCATCTGTTAGGCTTACAAAGTCTGTTGACGGGACACTCTGAAATAACCCTGAATACCCAGCTTCTACTTGAATTTAATAGGCGAGAGAATTAGAGACGTTCATGGGAAATATAAGCAGGATCGAAACAAGTCGTGGTTCTGCTTTTATTAGAAGGTCACCACGCGTCGTCGCACACGTGCGGTCGCCGCGTGCTCCCAGCTGAACACAAGCGGCGTTGCCTGATTACTTTTATCTAAACACGTATATCTAAGCTTTGAGACCATGAATGACTCACACATCTGCTTCAATATATGTCACTGTAGCTACAATCAGCAACGAGGGAAAAGCTATCGAAAGCGTCACAAGATGGACGAAAGGTGGCCAAATCATATGGAGGGCTCTAACAGCAATCAGACCAGCGAACGACGATACCTGAGTTATCTTAGTATGTTCAACGCTTACAATCTTATTTACATTATTTTATCGGGTACCCCCCCAGGAGGCCCATCGCGCGGCAAGAAGGCAGAGTCGGCGGACGAGTTGCAGCGCGTGGTGTGCGATGTAGGACGTGCAGTGGGACACTCTATTTAACTTGACGCGAAATCCCTATAGTACGCGCGCGACTCGTCCGCTGACTTTGCCTTCTTGCCGCGCGACGGGCCTCCTGGGGGTACCTTTCATCCAATTCTTCATATACTACACTCCGTTGCAAAACTATACGACATATCCAAATTTGGGTCTTATTACGAGAATTATTAGGTACCGGATATCTTAGTGTCGTTTTTTCACCGCGAGTTTCGGACCACCAATATTTTAATTCAAAATCCAGTGAGTGAAACGGCATATCCATCGAATGACTCATTAGCCCTTTCCCATTTACCAGTATGAGTGAAAACCTCGTACGATTAAAGTTAGGAATTTTTTGAGACGAAAAAGAGAGGTAGGTCGAATTTGACATCATCTGACAAATCATCCCTCTACCTTGCTAAACAGTTGGGCCTGGACAAAATATGTATACATTTAGTTAGAGTAGGGTCTGCACTGTTTGGTGGAAAATTTTATTACTTACCAGCTCAACTGGACAATTTTTCCCGGAATCTTTTTTGCCACGTGGGGTCAAAAGCGCACCCTTTTTGAGCACACGTGAGTAGCAGATGAGCACATTTATTAGAATTTCTTGGTCAATCAACTTCGTTAGAGCGTCTGTGCACCATCGATCAGTAACTGCTAGGGTGTCCTACCATTCCAGCACAAGACTGGTGCAGCCCCGTTTTGACTGATTTAGCTAGGACCACCTTTTTGGCGACGGTTGCGGGCATCCCTTCAAAGACTTTACTGTCTTTTAAGAAAACTGTGAAAAACCGATGAGCATTTTAAATGGTAGTATTCCCTCCATCAAATGCAATGCTGGTTTGGTGGGCGGAGGTTACAGCTCTCAGCAAGAATTTTGATGCATTTGGTACACACATGCGAATTTGCACACTGGACCCAGGAATTTTCAGAAGAAAGTATAAAAATTGGGGGAAAGTTAAATTGTGAACCAACAATAGAAGACGGTAAGCAACATATTTCGCAATATTAATGAGCAAAAACTGCCTTCTGGGATATTGATTTTCCATAGTAATCGGCCCCAAAACTTCCTGAACTCAGAAAAGCGACACTAAGATATCCGGTACCTAATAATCACAAAATGGTTAATGCATTGCATTCGTTGCTGTGTGAAGAAACACACAGAGATCTCCAGCAGTTCAGTCAATTTCATAAATCTTGGTCAAAAAATGAAAAAAAGGCACCTAATCTCGTTGGCGCTTTTGCAGAGATGGATTGGAAATTTACAGATTGTTGTAGGGCCTAAAATTACACTTGTTAGACCACATAGTTTTCACTGGATGTAGACCTGCGCTAACAAGATGAGGCATCACGAAGTAAAAAGGTATAGGGAGGCATTCAAGCAAGCAATAGTCGGCTAACGACGAAAAACAGGCTGTAGGATGAGAAGATGCTGATAGGACATTAGCTTATCGTACACCGTAAACGGTGGTATTAGAAGCACATCATCAAGTTCGGCAAACTTTTTAATCTCGTACAGATTGAATTTCGTGCCTTATTACCTAGAGGCCAAACAGCTTATTTGGTGTGTGATATTACAGGTAGTTTTTCTGGTGAAAAATGTTCCTCCTTGCGAGCCTGATGGATGACACTAGTATAAAAATGATTTGGGCAGAAAATCCATCTTCTTATCGAGAAGGAGCCTGATACTAATACTGCCTATAGTCGGCGTAGATGTGGTTCCACGGATTCAAAATGAATAACCTCACCGCTACTAGTAGTTACTCAGTCATCGCGTGCTACGTATACGCCGCGAATATTGATCAATCGAATATTCTACAGCAGTATCATGTCGGTAGCGACTTGCTTGCTTTGAAGCCTACCATATAGATTTATTCGGATGGCCCACTTGTTAGCGAGGTCTAAATCCAGTGAAAACCCTATGGGGCATCCAAGCTCGTAGTCTTGCCTACAACAATCCTGCATTCATCTCTGCAAAAGGCAATCGAAGATTAGGCATGAACAGGAGCATATAAAAATGTAGAAAACAGTCAGAATCGACTCTCAGGATAGGCGGGCATGGCGAATCCGTGGCCTACATATCTACAATACAGTACTAATATGACTGTAGAGTGCTAGGGAAAAGTTTTAGTAAAGTGAAAAAAATTGTCAAAATTTCTGCTATGTCGTATAGTTTTGCAACGGCTATTTTTTCATTTTTTCTGACCCTAGATTCTGGAAGTTGACAGAACTGCTTGGAGATTCTCTGTTGTAGGTTTCTTCACACACCGAATCGAATGGCATTACCCATTTTCGTGCTAAGTTTCTCGTAACTTCAGAAACCCAAAATTTGGGGTATGTCGTATAGTTTTGCAATGGAGTGTAACTCATTCTCTACATATTTCTGCTTTTTGGTTTGAGCACCAAAGTTATAGTTATAGTCTGCAAAGTCAACCTGAATGTACTTATTACACAATGCTCAGTTCTGAGCAAAATTGAAGGCACGCTCCGCGATTAGGCGCGCTCGCCTCTTCCATCCGGGTGTAGTAGGCAGGCGGACATTTGTGTCGCACCCCTTGCCACTTGACAGTTGCGCGAACATAAGACAACAAGCCGTCTCCGTCCGACGCACTCACTTCGTCCACATCCCCACCTCGCTGTCGTTGCCACGTGGCGCTGCTTGAAAGAGCGCGGGCGCATTTGAGGCAGCGGTCCCACCGCGATCCTGTGTCAATGGCACTGGAGCAACTAGAGTCAGGCTCGCGAAACTCGTCCAACGCGCCTTTTCTCTATCCCAAGGTGGAATGTTGCTGAAATAGGGGAGGTTCTCTGTACGGGGCGTAATCGGTGATTTCGTTTGCTTTCCTTCTCTTTTATAGACCACCTCCCACCTATAGCTTCATAACTGAACGCTTTTAGACACCTATTTTATCCCGAATCTTGTCTTTAACTCCCCCAGGCAGGAATTGGTCCTGCACCTCTCGCTTCTCAGGCAAGCGTGCTACCTATTAGACCACTGGGATATCGCTTCTGCTTTCTGATGATGTATTCACAGTAGGTCAACATAGCGTATAGCGTGATAAGTGGTTAGCCGACATTGGCAACGAAGACGAGGTTGGGTGAAAAGGTGGTGTAATCGGTTGCACAAACGCCTGGAAAGAGAAGTGGGGTTCGACCCTCGCAAAGGGGTTTTGCCCGTAATCTAGGCTTCTTGTGAGAGCTTCCGCATGGCGGACTGCAACTTTTGACGTCGTTGGGACATCAACTTACTCATGAGTTGGAAACCTTCAAAAAAAGGAAAAAGCTGAGAACCGAACAGAGGAGATCCAGTGGCTGTAGCGTCGATTTCATGCCACCGTGCTTGCAGTGAACTGCACACATGCCGACTTCAGGTACAGAAAGGAGAGTGTTACTAGGAGCTCCTACACTGAACTAAATGCCACACGATGAGAGACCAACGGTGAAGGGCTTTCCATCTCTGACGGACTGCCAGAGGTCAGACCCCCCTTCTCACCATAAAAACTCCGTCAACAGATTTAGAGCAAAAATATGGAAAATTTTGGCATACTTCTTCCCATGATTTATGCAAAATTTTACAATTGAATTTCCATAATGGAAACACTCACGACGTTTATGAAAGGCATAAAGAAGTTTACACCATTACTACAGCTGACTTCTGTATACAGGGATGAGTGAACCATTCCAAGACAGAAGCAAACAATTCCAAATATCTGCAGTAAGATAGTATTTTGATGAGGTAATCAAAAAAAAGTAATATTTTATTATAAGCAGCTGGGTTAGGTAGTGACCATCATATGTCCTCGTTGAAAAAACATTTTATCATAGGTAACTGGGTTAGGGAGTGACTAGGATATGTTTCGTAACTTGTTGGAAAATTACACTTAAAGGTACACTCCACGGTATCAGAAGTGAGAAAATGTGAAAAAAAATTCGAATATGGTAATTAAGCGCTAATTCATATGCAATGAGCGAAAGCGATAGAAACGAAAGAGTAGACAAAAAACCTTGAGGACCTCGTTTTTTCTTTCAATCTGAGAGGCGAGGAAGTAGAAACAGACAGTGTGAGACCCGCAGCCAGGGCAAGAGCATAGGTAACTAGGACGAGAGAGCATAGCCGATGCTGGGACGCAGACTTCGCAACGGTGATGTAATATCTGAAGTATGCGCTGAGGCAACTGCTAAGCTCTAAAACACTTGGCATGCGTTGAAGTGGCCTTAACAAACGATCTAGTTAGTGAAAGTGCATGACCCAAGAAACTATTCGCGGAATGGGTTGTTTTGAATTTGAATATGTTGCTTTGTAGCAACGCTGATATCCTAGCCTGAGAATATTGTAGTACTGGAAAGAGAGCTGCTCACCCTTCATTAAAGAGCCTTCAGGTACTTCTATGAATGCTCTAATACGAGATGCAGTAAGAACTTACACATAATGAGACTGCTGCAGCTATATGTGTATAGACCAGTACAGAAAAAACTTTCCACTGTTTTTCAGGTACATTCAAAAGAGTACGTGCTTCGATACACTGAAACAGAACATGAGAGGTTTCGAACGCATTTCTCAACAAAAACATCAAAAAACTCACCGCAGCTACGCCTAGAGAAAACGAAGTGAACTTGCTATTGATTGCCTCTAAGAGATAATTTCTCGAAGCATAACCAGGCATGAACTTGTAAAGTTCTGGAAAGCGTATGTCATTTCATAGCAGAAACATCGATTTCTGAGCATTCATAGCGAATAAAATGATGATGCGTGGTGGTTATCAGGTCAGCTTGCTTCTCTTATCTTCTCTTTCATTGGGTTTCTTCAATGCCGTTCAAAGGCACACTCCACGTGTGTAGGATGTGAGTGATGGTTCATAAGCTGTGGATGCTATGTAACACTTTCCTGGGGATAAATGTGAAAAAAAGCCGAAAAACGCTATGAGCAAGCAACTGGCCTTCCACCTGCTTTTGAATCACAAACAGTCCGATCGCCTCACTGCTGTTCTTGTGGTCTCGACAACTGGACTGTATTACGGTAGGTGGCCCACCTTTGGATTGCGTGATGAGTTGTTTTGGTCTCGAACTTCAGTAGGGTTGCTAGGGCATTTGATCGGGTAGTCATAAATTGATTCGACTCTTTCAGGCTCTGAAGAAGGCGATCCTCGCCGAAACGTAAGCCCAATAAAAGTTATTTGCCAACCTCGTGAGGAGCTTCAAAGAAAATAACAACAAGCTATGAGCAAGACAATTCCTTCTGAATATTTGACAAGGTTACGGAGAAATAGCTCTGGGACCGGCATCATGGGGCAAAGGGACGAGCAAGACGCAAGCACCGTTTATGGACCATTCCAAAGCGGCAGGCACGGTCAACGTCTCTATGCTTCAACAAAGCAAGGATGGTAGGTTGAAGTGTATTTTGGATGGATGCATTTTCGCTTATTCGTACACATGGGTATCTTGCAACTTTAGAAGACCCACGCTTTGCACGCATACACTACTTAAAGGCACGGTCCGGATTTAGGCACGTTCACCTGTTCCATCCCCGATCGTAACAGACAGGCAGACAAGAGTTGATGTCGCGCTCCTTTCACTGTTCGAAAGTGCGCAACAAAGGCACTAGAATCTCGTCCAATCCGCAAATCCACCACCCTTGCTCGCAAGCCCCACGCCTGTAGGCTGTCGCGTGAAGGGAAGCGGCAGCGGCGCGGTGGCAGTTCAATGTCATTGTTAATGGAGCAACTGTGCCCAATCAGAGTCAACCCTGCGTTGCGCAGTTCTCAACGGCCACGTTGCGCAGTTTCGCCCGATTAGACACGTTCTCTCGCGCGAACATTCACACTCGCATGCTCGAGCCGTCTGTGTCTCCGCCCATACAGCGTGCGTTGAGGATCTCTCACGTGCCGTTGCGAACTGCGCAACGCAGGGTTGACTCTGGTCCATTCGTGAAACTCGCCCCACGCCCCATCTCTATCCCAAGGTGGAATGCGCGCCGAAACAGGTTCTCATTCAAGGCGTTGGGGTTCTCTCTTGCTTTCTTTTTCTTTCCAGACCATCCCCATCTGCAGCTTTTTACTGCACGCTCTTACACATCCATTTTATCCCGAGACTTGCCTTCAAAGCAGCAGTCTAAGCACGGTTTCAAAAATTCGATCCTAAGAAGTGGAACCATGCACTAGCCCTAGTTGAGTACATAGGAAATGCCACTGATTCAAAACTAACCAAACCACCCCAAAACCAAACCCCCCCAACATTTCGAAAGGCGGTTTCTGGAAGGGGTCTAACACGTCGAACGGGGCGGACCATAGGTATATCCACACGTTTCGGTACGTGTAGCCCACTTCTGTCGTGAAGAGTGCGTGATTGGCTGCGCAGACATTTGCGGTCGTTTCGGGACCACCGGGACTATTTGGCGATCCTTTCAAGCAATTGATGTGGTTATGCCGACTACGCTGGGTTTCTACGTTTTTTCCTTCTACCTTCTATACCTTCAAACATATAATCGATTTCATCATTGCGCCCAATTGCAATTGCTGGCAAAATGCTGGCTATTTGGCCCACCAATTGCAATTGGTGCGGCCATATGACTGCGGGCACAGTTCGAGACAAACTCGTGCCAAGGAAGCGTCTTCAATTCTCCATTGTAAGGCCAGCGTAAGTAGTACCTGTCTAAGTCCGTATGACTCGGCGGCTTTTGTGTACTTTTCTTTCAATTATTTGGTCTGCTTTTCTCCTACAATTTCATTATCGGTGGTTTTTGCCCGCGAATTCGTTCCTGGATTGTGGCTTTGCTGTAGTCTAGTGACGTAGTGGATACTATGCCAGACTCATGGCTAACAGATCAAAGGAATTTTTAGAAACGGGGTAAATTGCCACTGGCAAAATCTCTTTTGCATGGTGGAATGCAACCGATTTGATCTTGAAATTACGGTGATCATGATGTATCAAGACATCACCTCGCAAGTTTTCCGGCACACCTACTCGATCCTACACAGCGCTCCAGTTGATTTACGTACCAAATTCCACAACCGACCGTCCTACCGTCCCGCATGCGAGCAGAATTGCCACTAAACAGCGCTTCATCCAAGAGCATACGCAATTTGGGAAAAATAAACATAGCCCTTCAATTTTATGCGGGTGTAGTGAATTGCCCTCGCCTTACACGAGATATCCAATAGGATTCACAGATGTTTGTGCGTAAGTAGCCTTCAAAAAGGATTCCACTACAGCTCGAAAGTCGAAAGAAGGGAACTTCTCTAAAAGGAAGAGAGGTTACTCCTCAATGGTGGGGACCAATCCCGCGATTCGCAGCAGCCCAGGCCATCTGGTGTGTACCTTCCCGCGCCGCTTTTGGAGAGGCACGCCCACCGGCCAGCCAACCACTTGCCGCAGGTCTCCAGCCATATACCAGAAAAGGCGTTAACGTTGACGAGAGCAGCGCTAAGAGAGTCATTTCAATGCATAACTCAACGTGAAGGAAAGGGATCCACTTCTCTGGTTCTGAATCGTTTCTCATGGTTTTTTCTTCATCCCAGTACAAGTGATCACCTCTACATTATTCCTGATGAGCTGTCTTCTTATTGCAAACTCCGCTTGAACGCCAAAACCAATTTGTACTTATTAACCCTTGCGTACCGCGTGCTGCATATGGTGCAGCACGCTGATTTGCCTCCGTGTGGCCGCGTGCTGCACATGGTGCAGCACGGGTTTTTGAAGGGTATTTTCGACATTTTCTCGTGCTCTAATCTAATAGTAATGATAAACTGAATCCGGAGAATAACATACAGACGTGGGACTGCGCAATGAGAAGGAATTCCTGAATTACTGGTATTTGTTGTGAAAAACTCCAGTTGCACTCTCTCAATTTTTTCGCTAAATTGTAGTAAAAGTGAAGGAACGGCTAAGCGACAACTTCGAGCATATAAAACAATTAAAGCTACTACGTTTCAATCACTTTCAGCTCTTTTTCCACTTGTTATATTCTTCAAAACTCTTTTTTCAATTCTGTCGCATTTTCGGTTACCCTACTCCCTACATCATGCAATAATAACTAATTCCACTGTACAAAAATAAACATGAAATACTGCAAAATGTGTAAGATATATGCGCAGTGCTTATATAATAGGTGTTTGTAATTTAAAAGAAAGTTTTATTAGGATCGCGCAGCA